ATAGGAAACAGTGATCCAATAGGGTTACAATTCAACTGGGGTGATGTTAGCTGCGATGTTTATCAATTTCCATAATTTTTCTGTAAACGCAAGTGACAAAAGAGCGTATAATACCGACATCCAAACTCTCATTTTAACCACAACTAAACATAATATCAAAGCCGTATATATCAAACTTTCAATCCAATTTACTGACATGCCGCCTCCCTCAACAGAGGCCTCGATCTAAAATTTCCGGGAGTATTACGTCAACGTAACGGTTAATCTCCGCTTACGACGCCATTTAAAAATTTAATCAATCAATCAAATCCTGTTAAAATCCAAGCCATCCATGGGTCAACAGAGTTGATTTTGTGCTTATGATTGTAATTTTGTCTTACAGAATAGAGCTATATATACGAACGTCTTTGAATATATGGCGTATTTAAGGAGGTCCTCATCCACTGCCACATAGTCCCTCCCAATGGTGCATCTGATTCACTCTATATTATGAGAGATTAGATAAAGAGCTGGCAGTTCTCACTACAATAGTTAAAAACTAGATAATCTAAAGGGAATCTAAATTGATCCACTCTGAACCGAGATTATAGCGATGCCAGGCAGGTTACGCCCACATTTTGCAAGAGATGGATACAGAACAAGCTAAAAGCAAAAACAATTTTTTGTACAATCAGGGGCCATAATCCAGAAAGTTATGGTCTGAAATGCGCAAATATCAAAAGGGACTGAAATTTTTGGAATATAAAGATATGTTTTAAGTTTCATCAAAATTGGATAAAAATTGTGACCTCTAGAGGGTCCATAACCTTTGAATTACATACTTATATACAATTTGCATACAAAGAGCGGCCATTTTGTCGGCAGTTTCATTTCGATTTTCCAAAAATTTCAATTTAACATTCATTATGGTGGAATAGTGATCTAAACGGTTTTTAAAATCGAAGCTAAAACTGTGATTTTTCCACCAATCAGGGACAATAATCCAGGAAGTTACATTCCGATATGCGCAAATATCGAAAGGAACTAAGATTTTTGGGTTATAAAGATGCATTTTAAGTTTCATCAAAATCGGATCAAAATTGTGACCTCTACAGTTTCCACAAGCTAAAAATGCGATTTTTCGTACTATCTGGGGGCCATAATTCATGAAGTTTCGATCCAATATGCGCGAATATCGAAAGGAACCAAGATCTTTGGGTTATAAACATGCATTTTAAGTTTCATCAAAATCGGCACAAAATTGTGACCTCCAGAGGGTCCACAACCTTGATATACCATATTTTTACACTATTCGCGTACAAGCGGCGGCCAATTTGTCCGGCAATTTTGGTCCAATTTTCACGAAATTCGAACTCAACCTTCCTTACAGTGTAACGGTGATATAATCAAACGGTGTTTTAAATCGGATAATAATTGTGACCTCCAGAGGGACCACAAGCTAAAAGATAGGTTGCCAGGCAACAAAACATACGCCCACAGCAGCTAAATCGTCTGTGCAGTCGACAAGGGTTGTCGCATATTTATTCTTTTGTAGGTAATTAGGGGAATTTAAGACAATTTCATACAGATGACATTATAATTTTTGTCGTTTGAGGGTTCACAAGGTTCTAAAAACTAAAACAAGGACCGTAACTCTGGAAGTAATCTACAGAAATTGTTGAAATTCGACAGGCTTTTTCGTTTTACTAATTCAAGTAATGCATATAAATTTCATACAGATCAGATGATAATTTTTGTCGTTCAAACGTTCACAAGGTTCAACAAAGTAAAACAAGAGCCATAACTCTAGACGTAATTGACGGAAATTGCTGACATTCAATAGGCGTCTTCATTTGACTAATTGAAATGATGCATATGAATTTCATACAGATTAAGTGATAACTTTTGTCGTTCAAGCGTTCACAAGATTCAACAAAGCTAAACAAGGGCCATAGCTCTAGATGTAATCAACAGAAATTTGCTGAAACTCAATAGGCTTGTTCGTTTTTCTAATTTAAACGATACATATAAGTTTCATGCAGATCGGATAATAACTTTTGTCGTTAGAGCATTCACAAGGTACAACAAAGTGAAACAAGGGCCATAACTCACGGCGTAATTAACGGAAATTGGCAAAATTCAATAGAATTCTTCGGTGCACTAATTTAAATGATGCATATCAATTTCAAACAGATCAGATGATAACTGTTGTCATTAGAGTGTTCACAAGGTTCAATTTCATACAGATCGGATAATAACTAATGTCGTTAGAGCATGATTCACAAGGTACAACAAAGTGAAACAAGGGCCATAACTCAAGGCGCAATTAACGGTAATTGCTGAAATTCAATAGGCTTCTTCGTTTCACTAATTTAAATGATGCATATCAATTTCAAACAGATCGGATGATAACCGTTGTCATTAGAGCGTTCGCAACATTCAACAAAGTGAAACAAGGGCCATAACTCTAGATGTAATTAACGGAAATTGCTGAAATTCAATAGGCTTTTTTGTTTTACTAATTTAAATGATGCATATAAATTTCATACAGATCGGTTGATAACTTTTGTCGTTAGAGCGTTCACAAGGTGCAACAAAGTGAAACAAGGGCCATAACTCCAGAAGAAATTAACAGAAGTCATTGAAATTAAATAGGCTTCTTCATCTCACTAATGCAAACAACATATATCAATTTCAAAACAATCAGATGATAAATGTAGAGTGTTCACAAGAACTTGTGGACGATGGACGGACGGACCAACAGATGGACGGAGGGGGGCGACGGCAAAATACAACCACATTTCCATGTGGGCGTATAAAAAGGCAATTTTTCGGACCATCTGGGACCAAAATTCTGGTAGTTACGATCCAATATGCGCAAATATCGAAATGAAGCAAGATCTTTAGGTTATAAACATGCATTTCAAGTTTCATCAAAATCGAAGTGAAATTGTGACCTCTACAGGGTCCACAACCTTGATATTATACCATATTTTTACACTATTAGCGTACAAACGGCAGCCATTTTGGTCCAATTTTCACGAAATTCGGACTCAACCTTCCTTACGGTGTAACGGTAACATAATCAAACGTTTTTTTAAATAGGATAATAAATTTGACCTCCAGAGAGACCACAACTAAAAAAGGCGATTTTTTGGGCCATAATTCAGGAAGTTACACTCCGATGGGCCCATATATTGAAAGGAACCAAGATCTTTGGGTTATAAACATGCATGTCAAGTTTCATCAAAATCGGTTCAAAATTGTGACCTCTATAGGGTCCACAAGCTAAAAACATGATTTTTCGTACAATCAGGGGCCATAATCCATGAAGTTTCGATCCGATACACGCCAATATCAAAAGCAGCCGAGATCTTTTTGAGATAAACCTATATTTCAAGTTTCGTCAAAATCGGACAAGAATTGTGACCTGTAGAGAGTCCACAAACAATTGTAGACAAACGGACGTCCAGACGGACAGGGGCGACAACAATATACGTCCACATGAAAATGTGGGCGTATAAAAAACATAGTCTTGATTATCCATTTTTTGATTTAATTATCAAGGAACATTAAGCAGCATATAGGATTCTAATCCAGAAAATATCGCAGGCTAGTGATGCGATCAAGAGTTGATTATGGTCTGAATAAGTTAATTAATGTCTAATTGATAATTTAGATAATATTTCAGGCCTAAAGAAAGACCTGCAACAGGCAGATTTAGCTCTTGCATAATGTATGTTTAAATAAGTGAACTTTATTGGAGAATAACATATATAGGAATCATATATTAAGCAGCTACTTGTGGGTCTGTCATGCCAAATTTGCGGTGTTTTCCTCCTGAAACAATGGAATTAGGTCGATGAATTTTCTTGTTTGAGATGCTCGGAAAACACATTTCTAGCGTTCCTGAAAAAAAAAATTTCTGTGGGAGGGCCCCTAGACCTCCCCGCAGCGGCGCTGATCTGTACCCGCTTTAAATAATTGTTTGCGGAAACCCTGCAGTGTACTTCCACTTTCATTCAAGATAGGTTGCCACTACGAAACATATGCCCACAGCAACTAAATTGTCGGCCTGTTTCACAAATTTAAATGATGCATATATAAATTTCATACATATCGGATGATAACTTTCATCAATCGAGCATTAACAAGGTTGAACAAAGTGAAACAAGGGTCATAACTCTAGAAGTAATTATTGGAAATTGCTGAAATTCAATAGGCTTTGTGGTTTCACTTATTTGAATAATGCATATAAATTTCACAAAGATCGGGTGATAACTTTTTGCGTTAGAGCGTTCACAAGGATCAATAAGGTGAAACAAGGGCCATAATTCTAGACGTAATAAACGAAAATTGCTGAAATTCATTAGGATTGTTCTTTTTACTAACTTAAAGGGCACATATAGATTTCATACAGATAGATAACTTTAGAGGTTAGAGTGTTCACAAAGAGCAACAAAGTGAAACATGGGTCAGAACTCTAGAAGTAATAAACGGAAATTGCTGAAATTCAATAGGATTGTTCTCTTTACGAATTTAAATGACGCATGCAAATTTCATACAGATCGGCAGATAACTTTTGATGTTAGAGCGTTCCCAAGGTGCAACAAAGTGAAACAAGGGCCATAACTTTAGAAGTAATAAACAGAAATTGATGAAATTAATAGGCTTCTTCGTTTTACTTATTTAAATAATGCATTTAAATTTCAGAAAGATCGGATGATAATTTTTGGCGTAATAGCATTCACAAGGTTCAACAAAGTGAAACACGGGCCATAACTCTAGATGTAATGAACTGAAATTATTGAAATTAAATAGGCTTCTTCATCTCACTAATGTAAACCACATATATCAATTTTAAAAGAATCGGATAATAACTTTTGGAGAGCGTTCACAAGAAATTGTGGACGACGGGCTGACGTACAGGGGGCGATGGCAATATACGTTCACATTTCCATGTGGGCGTATAAAAATTAAATTGATGTGCACATAATAAAAGAAAGTTAAAATTCATAATATTCATATTAAAATAATTTTTTTTAATCTTTATTTTGATTTATCAAGTTTTATCACATGGTAAAATACCTTGTTGCTTATACCTTAGTATACGCTTACTGACAAATGTGACTATTTCTAGTTAAACAAGTCAACAATGAGGCTGATGTCCCCCACCGAAATCCCAAAATAAATAGATGACACATATTAATGAATTGCACATTTATTTTTTTCAAAAGTATCAAGCAATCAAACCGCTTAGCAATCACTCTCTATCAGATAGAATCAAAGTTATCTGGTACCAAAGTATCGACCAATAAAATTGCTTAGCACTGTTTAGCTTAAGCTCGAAATGTTAATCATTGAACTCAGTCAATGAACATCAACATCAAGTTTGAACATTCTACCTCAATTAAAAGCAGAGTTGTTATGTTCCAAAGTCTTGACCAATCAGATTACTTATCGATCCTTAGCCTATGCAGAAAATTCTCATCATCAAACTTAGTCAAGATAATGATATAATGAATCTATACTCAGAGTTTCATCACTCTCACTTAATTAAAACTAAAGTTATTGGCCCCAAAGCATCAGAATGCTTATCTCTGCTTACAATGTTTATCATCGAACTCCATGAAGGCATTCACCTAATGAACGCCTACACCAAGTTTGAACATTCTACCTCAATTAGAAGGAGAGTTATTGTGTTCCAAAGTCTGTACCAATCAAATTGCTTATCGCTCTGCTTACCCTAAGCAGAAAATGCTTATTATGGAACTTCGTCAAGGTATTGATGTGATAAAACTATACACCAAGTGTCCTCACTCTCACTTAATTAGAAATAAAGTTATCGTGTCGAAAACCATCAGCCAATAAAATTCCTTATCTCTGCTTACCCTAAGCAGAAAATGCTCATCTTCGAACTCCATCAAAGCATTGACCTAATAAACACCTACACGGACGAACCCATTTTAATAGTCCCCTGCTTTCTTCGAAAGGCGGAGGACAACAAGCAGTTGCCATGCAAAGTACGCCCACATTTTGCAAGAGATGGACAGAGAACAAGCTCAAAAAAAAAAGAAGCGATTTTTCATACCATCAAGGGATCAAAATTGTGTTCTCTAGAGGGTCCACAACCTTGGCATACCATATATTTACAATATTTGCGTACGAGGGGCAGCCATTTTGTCCAGCACTTTTGGTCCGATTTGTACGAAATTTGGGCTGAACCATCATCAGGGTGTAAAAGTGAATATTCAAACTTATTTTAAATCGGATAAAAATTGTGACCACTACAATCAAGGGCCGTAATTCAGGAAGTTACGATCCGATATGCACGATTATATCAAAAGGAACCAAGATCTTTGGGTTATAAATATGTATTTCAAGTTTATCAAAATTGGATCAAAATTGTGGCCTCTAGAGGGTCCACAACCTTGATATACCATATTTGTACACTATTTGCGTATGAGAGACGGACATTTTGTCCGGCAGTTTTGGTCTGATTTTCACGAAATTCGAACTCAACCATCATTACAGTGTAACAGTGATACACTCAAAGTTTGTTTTTTTTAAATCGGATAATAACTGTTACCTCTAGAGGGACAAGCTAAAAACACAATTTTGCGTACAATCACGTGCCATAATTCAAGAAGTTACCACCCGATATGAATGAATATCGAAAGGAACCAGGATCTTTTGGGTTTTGGGTTATAAACATGCATTTCAAGTGTCATCAAAATCAAATGAAAATTGTGACCTCTAGAGTGTCCGCAAGCTAAAAACGTGATTTTACATACAATCAGGGGCCATAATCCATGCCAATATCAAAATGAACCGAGATCTTTTTGAGATAAACCTATATTTTAAGTTTTGTCAAAATCGGATAAGAATTGTGACCTGAAGAGTGTCCACAAACAAATTGTGGATGGACAGGGGCGACAACAATATAGGCGTATAAAAATGTTGGGGATGAGATTAAGACAAGCAATTATATTAATGCTTTGCTCAAATAAAAATAAATATGCTGAGCAGAATAAATAAATGCAAATATAAGACTATTTAAATAAAAAAAAACAAACACGCATCTTATCATAGTAGTTAAATCCCTTGATCAGTGTAAAGTAGTAAAGAAGCTATATCACAGTTTTCAAAGCTTCACTGTGAGAAGTTTGCTAGGTTAAAGAAAAAGAGAAATGGCTCATAGAAGTCTTTGTAAGTTTTAAGATAAAAACATAGACTGTTTGTCCTCGATAAATAAGATAGGTTGCCTGGCAACAAAACATACGCCCACAGCAGCTAAGTCGTCAAGGGTTGTCGCATATTTATTCCTTTGTAGGTAATTGGGGGCCTTTACAAGACAGTTCCATACAGATCAGATTTTAAATTTTGTTGTTTGAGGGTTTACAAGGTTCTACAAACTGAAACAAGGGTCTCAACTCTGGAAGTAATCTACAGAAATTGTTGAAATTTGACAGGCTTTTTCGTTTTACTAATTTAAATAATGCATATAAATTTCATACAGATCACATTTGTCATTCAAACGTTCACAATCGCCATAACTCTAGAAATTATTGACGGAAATTGCTGAAATTCAATAGACCTGTTTCACAAATTTATATGATGCATATAAATTTCATACATATCGGATGATAACTATCATCAATCGAGCATTAACAAGGTTTAACAAAGTGAAACAAGAGCAATCATTGTAAATTATTGTAAATTGCTGAAATTCAATAGGCTTTTTCGTTTCACAAATTTAAATCATGCATATAAATTTCACAAAGATCGGGTGATAACTTTTTGCGTTAGAGCGTTCACAAGGATCAATAAAGTGAAATAAGGGCAATAACTCTAGACGTAATAAACGGAAATTGCTGAAATTCAATAGGCTTCTCCGTTTCACTAATCTAAATAATGCATATAAATTTCACAAAGATCGGATGATAACTTTTGACGTGAGAGTGTTCTCAAGGATCAATAAAGTGAAACAAGGGCCATAACTCTAGATGTAATAAACGGAAATTGCCGAAATTCAATAGGCTTCGTCGTTTCAGTGATCTAAATAATGCATATAAATTTCAGAAAGATCGGATGATAACTTTTGACGTTAGAGCGTTCACAAGGATCAACAAAAGTGAAACAAGGGCCATAACTCTAGACGTAATAAACGGGAATTGCTGAAATTCAATAGGCTTCTTTGTTTCAGCAATCTAAAGCATGCATATATATTTCAGAAAGATCGGATGATAACTTTTGACTTGAGAGCGTTCACAAGGATCAATAAAGTGAAACAAGGGCCATAACTCTAGATGTAATAAACAGAAATTGCTGAATTTCAATAGGCTTCTTTGCTTCAGTAACCTAAATAATGCATATAAATTTCAGAAAGATCGGATGATAACTTTTGACTTAGAGCGTTCACAAGGATCAATAAAGTGAAACATGGGCCATAACTCTAGACATAATAAACGGGAATTGTTGAAATTCAATATGCTTCTTTGTTTCACTAATTCAAATAATGCATGTAAATTTCAGAGAGATCGGATGATAACTTTTGGCGTGAGTTATTTCTAATAAAATCCCCAAATAAATAGATGACATATATTTATTACTAGCACATTTATCTTTTTCAAAAGTACATGTATCAAGCAATCAAACTGCTTACTTTAAGAATTTTCTAGTTAGAATCAAAGTTATCTTGTCCCAAAGTATCGACGAAATTGCTTAGCTCTGCTTGGCTTTAGCGGGAAATGTTAATCATTGAATTCAGTCAAGACATTCACCTAATGAACATTTAGTTTAAATATTCTACCTCAATTAAAAGTCTTGAACAATCAAATTCTCATCTTCGAACTTAGCCAAGGTATTGATGTAACAAATCTATACTCATCGCTGTCACCCAATCAAAACCAAAGTTTTCGTGATCCAAAGTCTCAATCAATCAATTTGCTTATCTCTGCTTAGTCTTAGTGGAAAATGTGCATGATTGAACTCTGTCAAGGCATTCGCCTAACAACTACATCAAGTTTGAACATTCTACCTCAATTAGAAGGAGAGTTATTGTGTTCCAAAGTCTTAACCAATCAGATTGAAGTCTCTACCTTGCCTAAGCCGAAAATGCTTATTAACAAACTTTGTCAAGGCACTGATGTGATGAAACTATACAACAAGTTTATTTCATCAATGCATTTACTTAATGCCTACACCAAGTTTAAACATTCGACCTCAATTAGAAGGGGAGATATTGTGTTACAAAGTCTCGACCAATCAATTGCTTCTTGCTCTGTCTACCCTGAGCGGAAAATGCTTATTATCGAACTTAGTCAAGATATTGATGTAATGAAACTATACACCAAGTTTCATCACTCCCACTTAATTAAAACTAAAGTTATCGTGTCCCAAAGCATCAATCAATCAAATTGCTTATCTCATCTTTGACTCCATCAAGGTATTCACATAATAAACACCTGCACCAAGTTTGAACATTCTACCTCAATTAGGAGAGTAATTGTATCCCAAAAAGTGTGACTGAAGGACAGACCCATTTTAATAGTCTCCTGCTTTCTTCAAAAGGCGGGGGACAATTATAAGATGTTATAAATTGAATTAGAGAGCTGCATGGCACTAAGTGAATTAAGTTTCATTAATATCTGTTGGTAAGCGATATAACAAACGATGAAAAAACACATGGTTTATATATTCAATGTCAGCAACAAATATTTCAAATCAACAAATAAAAAAATGATAATCCCTGAATAAAAAGAGACTAAGCCGTTTTCTTTTCATTTGTAGTTATACTATCAACTTTGATGACTTCTGTAAATATAAGAGTTCCCAGAAAGACAAACGCAGCACCAATCCAATGGTAAATTGTAAATGGATTTTGAAAATAATATATAGAGAACATGAGACTAACAAATTTTCTTAATGTAACAACTAACGTAACAGCTAATGAGGTACATTCGGTTGTCAGAATAAATACAGAACGTATACAAACATATCTGAAAATTATTAAGGATTTATACATTTCGTATTAATTATCACATATAAATGAAAGGCGACAGTTGCAACATAGACACTCCAGTAAACAAATAAATGTATAATTTTGTAAACAATGCTATAAAATTCTAATCCCCAGGTAAAATCTGGTCTGCCCCTTGGGGCTCATGAGCGAGTTTAGCCTCCTCATCCAAATTCAGCCTAATCAAACATTGCAAAGCAGGTGACTAGTTGAAAAATCCCAACAAGTTTGAAATAAACTTCTAAAAACTTATGATTGATATAGTGTTTACAAGGCTGAAGTGACTGGGGCAATAACTCTGCATAAAATTAATGTGTCACTTTGAAAATTGATAGGGTTTCCCTAACAATGCCCAAAAAACCTAAAAAAACCTCTGATTTTGTAAACCATGTGCACTGGTTCAGTGTAAAAATCATTGCTCAACCGAGTTTCATTTGAGTTTCTTCTTAGGACTAGTCAAAGAAACCCAGGAAGTCTGAAAACAAAACAGGAAAAACTTGGACTTGCAGAGAGACAACCCAGCCAAAAATCAATGTGGGAATCTGACATATAAACTATTCCAGAAAATTTAAGAAAAAAACACAAAACCTTTTGCATGTATAATCAATTGCAATAGCTCTGTGAATAATTGATGTGGGAGACTTTGACTATCGGTTGGATTCATCTTTATGGCTATCCACAACTTCAGCAAGATCTGTATTATTTTGTTATTAACAACTCTACCCTGTAGAACGATATGTTGATAGCAAGGTTTTAATGACAAAAGCAATAGAATTGTGGATGGAAAGACAGGGGTGAAGACAATATGATATGTAGGTGTATATAAATAGGTATTATTTTAAAGGATACTGAGTAAGTACATTAAGACATAAATACATCCATAACTTTGGCACAGTCAAACCAATAACTGGTATTAATAATGGAGCTGAAAAGAAAAGTTTGAACTGAGGATAATTACACTAGTGGCTTCTTGACTAGATTAGATGAGATAACCCAATCTAAATGACCTCAGACTTGCTTCTATGCCACAGCACAATCATGACAACACTAATTTTGTGTCATAAAAGATATTGTCCATGAATATGCATCCTAAAACAATGTTTTCATACAGAAACAGAAAGCAACTGTAAGACTATTCGTAGAATTTTTGCTCTTTAAATTATTAATAGCATTATATTATATCTTTAAATAATTGTTGGGTTCACATAAACACATTGTATAGAAATCATATCTAATGCACTGAAATAATGAGTGACGGATTTCAACATAAAAAGAGTTATAATTTGGTGAACATTTAATTCTAGATTAAGTTTCTGTCTCAACTGTTCATACATGTATAAGGCTAGTTAACCAATCATTATAATTAATTATGTCATATTTGACCATTTAGATAATTGAAGGTCCAAACACAAAGCTACAAAACTATCATATCTCTGAGCATACGTTAGACAGCCGCTGGATTCCAGAGGGGGAAGATGTTGTACCATATGTATCCAATGCTTTATATAAAATGTAGAGCTGAACTGTTGCATTGTTATTCCTGGTAAGACAAACGTCTTAACTAATGAGACGATAAACATCTTAAGGAGATAGTAAGAAGAAAATACACAACGTGAAAAGGAAGCCAAAGAAGACAAGTGAAAATATTAGACGATCAAAGGCTGTTCCAAAATATGTAATAAGAAAAGAGTGTATGGGTTGTTATACATAGGATGTGGCGACCAGGGTGTATGACAAAAGACCAATGGCTCCTATTCTGTATCATTCAAATGCAATTCTGTTTAGACTATCTCGCTAATGGGAGTCCATAAAATTCATTTGTCATATTTTGGGGAAAAGGTGCAATCAAATTAGAGTTGTTCCCTTTAATAAAATGAAATAATTTGGTTGTAAGATTTAATTACCTGAAGCATTATAATATATAGCTGCACTATAAATACTTTTATACATCAATATAAATGCTGGTAATGGTAAGGCATGCTGAAATATAAAAAAAAACCCACATATTTTGGGTAATTTGATCCTGCTGTTGATATCAACAGGGTGCTAAAAAACTAATTACAGACCTTGTGCACAATATCTTGGTATAAATATAATTACATTTGACTAGCAAATTTAGTGCTGTAACAATAAACTGTTACTTACATTATAGAACATAGCTTCAGCAGGATGTTTACCATACTTGGCGTAAGTCTGTTCTTGAAATATACCCATTCGTGAAGACATAAATAGTGCAAAGACTAGTAATGAAATACCTGGTACAAAGAAATGTATTAAACTGTTTAATTATATGCCAGTGCCAGTATAAAATCAATAAAAAAAAGGCCATTTACCCATCCCTTTTTCTATATTTTTTTGTTAATGTTTGGAAAGTTTTTTAGCATAAATACTTGAATTTTTAACTTGTAAATTTTAATCAAACATATTCACCCATACACAATATAAAGTATCATGAAGCATATTGGTCCAAACATTATTCAAACTTACTATCTAAATCTAAAGATCTATAGAACACTTGCCAGTCCTTATTTTCGTTAAATTCAAATATGGAAGATGATTATTATTAGCTTCCTTGTGCAATGAAGCTTTAAAGAGGCTCTGCTCCATAAAAAATATTAACAGTGTAATAGTGTTAATACTTTTAACTTTACCTATAAGCCACATGAGATAATCATAAGTTGCATTTCCTGTATGAGATGGTAAAGTTTCCTGAAAATCATAAACCGATATATTAAATTCATCGATTTCATATAACACATAATAAACATATTTGATTTCTCTTCTCTATCAAATGGTTTTAGATTGATGGTATATATGTTAAGGAAGCTATAGATACAATCCACACACAAATAAAACCCATAAAACAAACCAGTGCACAATAACTACACAGACATTGCTAGCAATAAACAACAAACGTATACATATCAAATCAAGTTAATGGACCTGGGGACCAGCTGTAAGCTTCCAATGAGCTGTGTACAGTCTTATGAGTATTTCCCAAACATAGTCAGGTCAAAATACAAAAGGTTTCTCAACTGATTCTGGTAGTTTTTAGTGTACTTTTTAACATACTAAAAGTTTACCAAAGTAGGACCAGCGGAAAAGTCTTACGGTAAAATTCCATTCCTAAGTTTGGATTATTGGTTGAGCGTTAGTTTGAAAATGGCGGCCCAATTCAAAGTTGTTTATGTGTTTGTATCGCACAATTCTACAAGAAAATAGAGTTGGATTTTTATAAATTTGTGTCGGATGTGGCAAGAAATGGTTCCTTTTAGCGACCAAAGAAGAATCACAGTGAAAAATAGATGGTAAGGATTCCAAAATTGCCTTAGAACCGAGATAGGGGAAAAGCCTTATTTTCATACTAGTTGTCATTAGGAGCTGGCAGTAACGTAGTAGAGGGCAGAGCCGATACAATTTACGTTACTAAAGTAACTATGATCATAATCTTGGTGTCTATCCCTAGGTTTTTGGGGTCAAAGAACACACTAAGATAATACAAAATGATGTTGGCCTATTATGTAACTCAAAAATCAAACTATTGACTCATTTTGAAATTGAATTCATGACCTTCAGCTATCACTATCACCTAATGCGCAAACACCTTTGTCCATAGAATAAATATCAGAGCGTTCAGTTTTGAGTGTCATCCACCTCCTCAGGATAGACCTCTTGAGTATTGTTTGGATTGTCACAGTTTTCAGTTTGGCAAGGGCCACCTACATTAGTGCTGGGGAGCCCATGGCGTCTGCAGAGGCATCGAGAGGATTTGTTTCCCCCCGAACAGTTGCAACATTGTTTTGGGTTATAATTGGAATTGACTGATCATTTTCCTGTTTCCATCCCTATTTAGTTGGGTTCATTTAACTTGCCATCCCCATCCAGGGTATGAAATAAGCCTCTTATATGGTAACCTCAAAATGGATTACGCTAATCTGCCTCAAATTTAAAATGGTAACCTATAGGTTACGATGCATCAATTTGCTGCTATATTTGTTTAGAGCTGACCCTCGAATTAGCCTAGAGGGATTTGGGGGCAAAGAAAATTTTGCATTTTGGCATGCAATATTACTAAAATTATGACTTCTCTGTAGTGCTCCTACGACTAGTCGGATAGCCGTAAACGGTTAGAACTGGATGGTTAAATGGTTCGAATTCAACAGTACGGTTATTCGGAGATATCCCCCATTACACAGAGTTGTGTCTGATTATATTCCTCTTTATAACAAACCTTGCCCGTTGTCATTTTGTATTTGATGTTTGAAAATCTTAGAATGTAACAGTCGTCCTACGATGTCGACTGCTAAAAAATAATACTATTAATAGCACTCGTCGTAGTCATACGGCAAAGTCAACGGACCTTGTTCTGACTTAAGCTATTGTTAATCAAATCTAAATACTTCTCGGCATTTCTAACTATATTCTACCTTGTTTATTATTTACTTCAAAACGTAACCACCATTCAAAATATAATCATAAAGGCTAGAAAATGACATTATACTAGATTCGTTACGACATTCAACATGTTTCATATCTCGTAATTTCTCGCAAGAATTCTACTTTGGTTTTTAGTTAAATTAACCAATCATAAAAATTCTACTTGCAAGCGAGGAATTATTTCTTTATTGTCCAATCAATAGACGCCTTCCAATTTACTTTATTCTATTCTTAGTAACATTGTGTAATCGTAATATTATCGCCATCTGTCACATACGAAGGGAAACAGAGTATCGTTTTGTATATTATCATTATATTGAATTAAAAAATGTTTCAAATGAACCAAGTTAACCAGGTAAATAAATAACTACCGCCCTAAGATAGTTTAAATTTTCATTAAAGAATTCCTGAAATTTTTGCGCGTGTAATGCCTTTTAGGCAAGTATAGCGTGCGCACGAGTAATGACTCACACCTCCTGACAAGCTCTGTTTTATGTTTAAAATTGATACCATACGGTTAACGGTTACTAACCGGTTAATAGCTACGGATATTCGAATAACAAAAAGTCCTAACCATAGGAGCACTACTTCTCTGTCATAATGGTAAAATAACGTGAACAAGTATATCCTGAGAATTTTTTTTTTTAAATAGTACAGTGTTCAAAGTAAATATAAATATAACTTTTAAAAAGAAATATCGCCCCAAATGACCATCACTTCATCGCTATCGGCATTTGACATTTCTGCCTTTGGATATATGGCGGGTTTTGTCGTCTTCTTTGCTTCATTGCGTCGAAAATAAAAAATATATAGTTGAAATCTTCGACAATGTAATATTCCTCTATGTAACTTGTAATAAATCCTAAAAGTTTTGATTCAATTTAGCTTTCCAAAGCCTTGAATTATTAGCCGTAAGTTTTGTGGTATCGCCCGTCTGAAGAAAGCGTATCCAAGATATGGCGGCTGACATGCTTGATCTCGACTGAAGTATACGTATTCTTCGCATCATAGCGTCCCCCAAAAAATATAATTAGCTGATTTCTTCAACATTATCATAAAATTATTAGCCGTAAGTTACAACGTAAAAATATAGGAATAATGCCAAAGTCATTGACACGGTGTGAATTTTCACCTCTGACCTATTTTACGTAAATACCGGAAGATCCTTTGTTGAAACGTATTTTTTTTATTTGATAATTTGCAAATATAACATTCCTTTTCATTGGATGTTTTATTTTTATTACTCAATCACCATTAATTTAAGAAATAAAAACAATAGAAATCAGTTGATTGATCTGGCGATTTTGTTCGCTAAGGACGTCGCAAGCTATGATGGGTCCGCGAATTGATTCGCTACCGCCAAATGACAGGTGCGAACTTAAGGATCTTTCGGGTATTTATTTATAGCTGTAATGTTTTTAACGTAGGAGTGGGGGAATAATTTAACTGAAACCTTCAGTTTATAAATTATAGCTCGGTGGTCAAGAACGGAAGTCCGTTTGCGTGTTTCCGGGTCATGGTAACCGATGCGTAACCCGAACGACCGTTCGTGTGTTATTTCGTACCCTGCCATCCATACGTTGACTATGAAATCTTGTTGCAGGTGATGTTAGGGGAAGCTGTTCAGGAGTGACAAATGCTTCAGCAGTTGCCACTTTGTTGGTGAAAATGATATGGCGCAGTGATGATAGCGTATCATTATACTTGCCACCAAAGAGATCAACCATCAGGTCTTTGCCAAGATTTAATATGTCCTCTTGAGATTTATTTTGAAGGATGAATGGATTTGCACAGGACTTCATGACAGGATCAGATTTCACTAATTTCTGGAAGGCTGACTTTTTTCCGAAAATTTGACCTTTGGGCCTCTGAGGTCACAATGAACAAAGGTGAATTTAGCTAGTTAATATTTTTATTGAAAGGCTGGTTACTTTCAATCATTTTCAGCATGTTTTCGGGATACAAGTATTGCTGCACATTCACTTTCAGTGCAAATGACCTCATTTGACCATTGACCCTGAATATCTTGAAAACGCCCCAACGGCAAAATTTCACTCTAGAAAAGTTGGGTCTGGTTTTGTGCCCATTTGATGGACACTCCTCCGCACTGAGCCTTCAGACTATAAAGTTGAATCACAACCCGAGTAGGCATGTACAAAGAGCAACTCATTGCACACACAGTTTCTTAAAGTTTCTTTCAACAGGTTAATGTTATACACTTTTGACTGCTTGCTTGTGTCAGAAAAGAAGTAGATGAACTCATTGTCTGTTCTGGAGTAATGAAGGAAATGAAATGAAATGAAATGGGGTTTAACGTCCTACTGTTCTGCTCCTAAACTGGGCTAATGAAGACGGGCATACACCATACAGTGTGCTGAGGGAAATTTTGCCCGGGCAGCGGCGCTACGGCCTACTCTTATATCGAATTCCAACTGCCATGGGATCTTTTACGTGCACGCCAATGTGTACACGGGACCTCGGTTTTTCGCCCCATTCGAACGACTAGACAGCTGTCCTTGTCAGGCCCTCCGTCCTGCATCACTGACAATGGGAAACCACGCCAGAAAATCTGGACGGACTTTCTTGGCCAATCCAGGGATCGAACACCCGACCTCCAGGCTAGCGAGCCAGCGTCTTACCCACTTAGCCACGTGATCCCGAGTAATGAAGGAGCAAGGTCAGCAAATCTGTATCCTCACCGACCAACGTTGTGGGACAATGACGGGATCGTTCAACAGTTGCCTGAACGATATCAACGTCTGAATCCCCTAGTGACTGAATGATAAGACATCCCCTTTCAGTTAGTGCTGTGCTGATGAGAGCAATCATGTCTGCCTTGTTTTTGTCACGAGACAAAAGTCCTCCTTTTTGCCCAAAATCTCGGTTACAGCAGTAAAACTAACAATAGGGTGCAGGTTTTTTCCTTGTCTCTTATGTGTGTTGTCTTTTATGGAGGGACCTTCACCATAGCCATCAAACACCACTGTCGCTTGACATTACGGACAAAAACAAGCAGTCAAAAGAACACAAAGATTTCATAGTCAACGTGTGTACTTTCAAATTATAGTATGGATGGGGATGGCAAATTAAATGAACTCAACTGAATGGGAATGGAAACAGAAAAATGATCAGTTAATTCCAATTATGACCCAAAACAATGCTGCACCTGACAAACTCTTTAAAATTATCCATTCCAACTGTTCAGGGGATGCAAATCCTTTCAATGCACCTGCAGATTCTATGGACTCCCCTGCACTGCTGTATGTGGCCCT